TTTAGAAGAAAAATACGAAGGCAAAGCATTAATGGGACAAAGAAATGTGGTAATATCTGTTGAAGATATTTTATAGTTTTATCAACTGGACTAGGGAGAAATGTTCACATACTGAAATATTCACTTTGTAAGCTAAACAATGTGATTGAATGTATAAAAGAAAATGAAATTTAAAATATTAAAAAATTTAAAAAAAGAAAAAAGATATTTCGGGTCCATTTGAACATTAAAATTGTTGATTCTCTGATGGTCATTGACTCTCTGATGGTGCATGATTATAATTGAGGAGAGCACAGATTTTCAGAGTGATGTCAACATTAGGCAGTAATAATGTAAAACAGTATTTGTACATGAATTCCCTTCATGCACATCACAGAGCTGGGTCAATGGTGGTAGTGGTTTTTACCATCTCTTCCTCCAAAGGGGCTCCTTGAGCAGTGCATTACATCCTCAGTCCTGGGGACATGTTTGTGTGGAAATGTAACTTGTATGGATTGAACCAAACCCAGTGGAATGTTTCAGGTTTGCTCTTGGCAAGATCTTTCTTTCCCTGCTCCCTAATGAAAGGATTGGAAAGCCAAAAGAGGCCTCACATGGCTCTTCTTGGCTGTTGCCTCTCTCTTTAAACAATGGCTGGATGCATTCTGTAGAAAGAAAAGGAAACATATGGATTAAATTTCCCCCAAGTGCACTGTGGCCTAGGAATGGATTGAAGGCTGGGTGTGTGGGGAATAGAAAGGAAGGCTTTGGCATAACATTCTGGGGAACTTAGTGAAATTTGGGTCCCATGGGAAGTGTTGAGGTTGGAGCAAGGGTCAATAACTAGCTGTGGCCAGGTGTGCTCTGAACTGGCCACAGTGGGACCAGCCTTTATAGAGGACCCTTGGAAATGGAGGAGGGAGTGGAATGGAGTGATGTTGTAATGGGAAATGAGGAAGAAGTGGTCATTGAGTCAGGCAGAGACTTCTAAAATTCCTGGAAAGTCTTCAAGGGGCTGAATGTCTAGGGATCTTTCCTGAAGAAGGCAAGTGTGTCTCTATCATGTGCTTTGTGCAGTGGGATTGAAAGTTTGGAATTTAATTAGTTTAATTAGAATGACATTAGTTAATATATAAATGCTACTTCTTTTGCCAAATTATTCAGGACTCATTAAATGGAGAGTCATGATGAGACTCTTTCATTGGCATCACAGACACATTTGCAGATGGCAACTTGGAGGGCAAGAAAGGGAAGCCTGGGTTTTTGTTTTGTTTGTGATGTTGTGCATGCTGTGCTCACTTCCACTTACAAATCCTCTCATCCTTCTCTAAAAGTGACCAATTGTGCCTGCCTCTTCACTGCCTGAGCTTCCTGCCATAATACCCAGGCTTGTGAGATCATAATCTCCAAGGACCGTCAAGACATACAAGATTTCTTTGCCACATGTGCATGAGGTCTAGGAGTGATCTCTAGCTTTATGTGTGTATTCTTTATTCCTGACACCCATGAACATGGATTTGCTGACTCTTGATTCTGATCTTGGGTACCTGTTTCTGTCTTACTGGTCTAGAGTGAAACCCTAAAAACTAAATAATTGCTGTTGGCCTGAATCCAAGCCACTAGTCATCAGCCCCTTCCCTTGGAGAATTTGGTGACTGATCTTTATCATCTTATCTGGAAGAAGACTTTTTAGTTTGCTTTCAGCAACCCTAACTATAAATGTCCTGAAGCCTGAACGACATTCTTCTTCTTATTCCTTTGTATCAAATTTTCCCTCATCTTAGACTAGATTAGACTGGATCTTGCCATTTTTTCTTAGATGTCACTTTGAATTGCCAGCTCCATTGGGAGAGGCACTGGCTCTATTGGCCACAGTTCTTTCCCAGCTCCTGAATTTGTCTTAGCCTGGCTCTATCCCTTCTCAGTAATGGGAGCTCTCAAAATACCATGTCACCAATGAGTTCATCATGGAAGACTTATCCTGTAGTCACTTACTTTTGTGGAATCTGTCCTTCCTCATTCTAGAAGAAACTAGTGGCTTTCTTTAACTTGGTTCACACATCTTATTTGCATTTGTTATAGTGTATTATATGTAATTACCTATGAGCTACTTCAAAGGGAAGAGACTAGGCATACTTTACAATTGAATGATCATAATGATGCAGGCTTATTTTGCCTTCTCTGTTATATACTAGAATATATGGCAAGATGAAGGAACCCAATAAAATTTTTTGAGTGGATAAAATATTTAGTTCAATTCCCTACTCTTATAGATAAGTAAATGGCACTGAAAGCAGTTCAATCACTTAACCAGATATGCAATGAAATCTATAGGCCATAAACCATATTTGATATATCTTTGTACTCGATACCCAGCTTAACATCTACATGTTTTAAACAACCAATATATGTATGGCACTGAGTTGAAAAGGAATTCTGGAAATGACAAATTTGGTTGGTAGGAGAGCTAGGACTATAAATAGGTATTCTGGCATTCAAATTCTCAGCCTATGGTAAGATTAAACCATGACCAAGGTGCTCAAGATATTTAACAGAAAAAAAAGGTGACATGACAACATCTCTTAAATTTTAGTTTTGGCAGATAGTTCTTATCTCTTTTTCCTTTTTACCGGATATCCTTCTTTATTGTCCTGTCCAAATCATGCAACACTTAAAATACGTGCTTGGCTTAACACTGAGCAAACCACTTCCTTTCTTTTTGATAAATATTCCAGATTTTGAAAAAACATCTCTAAACACCAGTTCTACAAAGATACTTTTTAAAGAGAGGACATCTATAAAAGGTGAAGATTGTTCATGTCCTTCAGGTGACCTGGGAACCCATGTTTTCTGAAAATACTGGGTGTATACAGATGCCAAGAAATGTCTCAAGTTAACAGGGACATTTCTAACAATGGCTATAAGTACTAGAACTGCAAGAAATGTCAGAAGGGAACAATGAGTATTTTGTTATATAACCTCCTGCACACCAGAGGGCTCTATGCAAATTATGACTGACTGTTTTCCCCATAGACACCAAAGAGTAGTTAAAGAAAGGATTGACAATCTTTTTGTAAAGGGCCAGACAGTAAATGTGTTTGCCTTACTCACCATCTGATCTCTGTTGCAACTACTCAGCTCTGCTGTTGTAGCATGAAAGCAGCTACAGACAATTCATAATGAATATATAAGGCTGTATCCTCATAAAACTTTATTTATGGACACTGACCTGTAAATTTCACATGATTTTCATGCATCAGAAAAAAGTATTATCATTTTTTTTAACCATTTAAAAGCATAAAAATCATTCTTTGCTCACAGGCTATATACAAAAATATGCTAGATTTGATTTGGCTTGTGAGCTAGTCTGCTGAACCCCTGATTCAATTAATAGTAATACTACTAATAACAATTTCCATTTACTGAATCCCCATTATGAAGCAAGCACTATTTTTCAAAGGAGGAGGTAAACAGTTGATTTGGTCAAAGTCAAAAGCTAATAAGTAGAATGGGAACCAGCAGTTAGTGTAATGGCTATGTCGCTGGATTCCTACGTAGTCGACTGCAGTTCGCGTCCGGGACCCGGTGGCTTAAAACTCACGCTGGGCACGTGTGCGTGCGTGTCCAAGATCCCGAGAGGAAAATGGAGGAGAAGGGATTGTGGCGTGACCATCCCCTCTGGGGGATGATTTTTCGCTATCTGTCTCTATGTCTCTCTCTGTCCGTCTGGCGAGTGCATGTGCCCTGTAGCAAAAACCTCTCCAAAGAAAAAGCTAGTAAGTAGAAGAACTGAGAATCAAGCCCAGATCTGTCCATTTTAGAAGCTGTGCTCCTCACTATTGCAGTTTTAGGGCTGGCCCTATAACCTACTGGTTAAGAGAGTGGGATTTCATGTGGCCAACTGCAGTTCAAGCCCCAACCTTAGTGGCTCGAAAAACGTAAGTATGTTGGAATTGCCTACTCTAAATTTCAGTACTGATTAGAGATGAACTCTGAACTAGTAGATTGAAATGGCTCCTCCCTTTTCTGAGAATCTAACTTTTTAAATTAATTTCACAGGAATGTATTTAATTAAAATCCAAGTCACTTCTTTTCCCTGTATTATAGATCTCTCTTTTGTAAAACTAGAGGACTGAACAACATAATCTCAAAGATTCTTTCCAGTTTTAAAATACTTGAGCTTACGATTAACAGGGGATGTTAAGAATAAACTTTATGCTATTAAATTCAAGATAACGTGAATCATTTCACATTTTTGTCTTAGTAACTAGTCCTGCCCAACTCCCTCATCCCCATCAAAGCCTGCAAACTTGAAGTCCATGGGCCGAATCCAGCTTGCAGATGTGTTTTGTTTGGCCTATAGAGTGTATTAGAACTTTGTGAATCAGTGGCCAACATTAAAAAGACTGGGTATTTCCAGTAAACATTCACAATTCCAAGTTTTCTTTAAAAAAAAATCAGAGGACCTATCAGCACTAGATTTAATTTTTACATGGCAGTGGTTAGCTGAAGCTGACCTCAAGTTCTCTAGTTCACTAGAGTTCTTACCTCACGGGTATGAATTATACCTGGCCACCTTCATTTATACACTATTCCTTTCCCTGCTTGCCTGGTCCTATAAGTTATCTGAGTTTTCTACCCTTGTCCTAGAATTTTCAGCTCATGAAATGCCCAGAAATGCATATGTTGTGCACTTAGAATTGTGAAATCTTAGAATAAGTGAATTGGATTGTATCTAATTGGATCCTAGCAAACAAGAGGATGAGAACAGGATGCAGAGAAAAGTTTTTGCAGCATCTTAAAAAAAAATATTCTTGAGAGTTTTGATGGACAGGATGACACAATGGTGTTTTGTGCCAGCCAACTAGCTAATGTGGTCCCTAGCTACATTATTAGAAATGTAGAGTTCTGACAGGGCATGAGCCAGGCCTGCCCTTCTCTCTGCTGCTCAGATGTGTCTAAGTCATCATGTTTATTTCTTGGCACTACATTGCAAGTGTGATTGTTAACAAGGAATTGAGTGTGCTCATTTCAGCAGCACACAATACTAAAATTGGAACAATACAGAGAAGATTAGTATGGCCCCTGTGCAAGGATGACATGCAAATTTGTGAAGCGTTCCATATTTTTTGGCCAACTCAATGGTAGGGACAAGTCTGGAAATATCAATAATAACATTGAATGCCTATGGATTAAATTCTCCAATCAGGAGACACAGACTGGCTGAATGGATTAAAAATCAGAAACCCTCCATCTGCTTCCTACAAGAAACCCATCTCATGGATAAAGACATACATAGACTAAAAGTGAAGGGCTGGAAAAAAGTATTCCACACAAATGTAAACCAAAAAAGAGTGGGAGTCGCTATACTGATTTCAGACAAAATAGGCTTTAAGACTAAAACTGTAAGAAAAGACAAATAAGGGCATTATATAGTAGTAAAAGGGCTAATTCACCAAAAAGATATAATGCTTATAAATATCTATGCACCCAACTCAGGAGCACCCAAATATGTAAAGAAAAGATTGCTAGATCTAAAAGGAGAGATAGACTGTAACACTATAATTGTTGGAGATCTCAACACCCCATTATCTCCTTTAGACAGGTCAATGAGACAAAAAATAAGCAAAGAGACTCAGGACCTAAATGATACCATAAAACAGATGGACTTGATAGACATCTATAGAACTTTCCATCAAAAAAAAACAAAAAAAACTACAAAATTACATTTTTCTCAGCCCTGCATGGTACCATTTCAAAAACTGATCCTATGATAGGGCACAAAATTAGCCTTTCCAGATTCAAAGGCATAGAAACTATATTCCCTCCATCAGTAATTTTATAGTTTGCAGTTTTAGGTTTAGATCTTTGGGAAAAGCCCTCAAAAATATACAAATACATGGAAAATAAATAACCTACTTCTGAATGATTCCAAAACTAATGTGGAGATTAAGATGGAAATCAAAAGATTCATGGAAACTAATGACAATGAATACATAAGTTTCCATAATCTATGGGATACTGCAAAAGCAGTCATAAGAGGGAAGTTCATAGCAATTAGTGTGCACAAGATAAAGATGGAAAGGTGGCAAAAGGACAACTTAACATCATGCCTAAGGGAATTGGAAAAAGAACAACAAAAACATCCATAAAATGCAAGGAGAAAAGAAATAATAAAGATTTGAGCAGAAATAAATGAAATAGAAAATAAGCGAACTGTACAAAAAATCAATGAAAGCAAAAGCTGGTTCTTTGAAAGGATAAACAGGATTGACACACCATTAGCCAGACTAATTAAGAAGAGAGAAAGGAACCAGATAAGACAAATTTGCAATGAATCAGGCAACATTATAACAGACATAACAGAAATATAAAACATACTATGAGGGACTATATGCCAAGAAAGTAGAAAAACTGGATGAGGTAGACAAATTCCTGGACACATATAATCTACCAAGATTGACTCAGGAGGACATAGAAAGCCTAAATAGACCTATAACAAGCAATGAGATTGATTTAACCAGTAATAAATAACCTCCCAACAAAGAAAAGTCCAAGCCCGATGGCTTTACTGCCAATTTTTACAAAACTTTTAAAGAAGAGGTAACCCCATCCTACTCACAGTGTTTCTAGAGATCCAAAAGGAAGGAACCCTTCCAAATTCATTCTATGAAGCCTCCATTTCCCTCATTCCCAAAATGGATAATGTTACGGCAAAAAAGGAAAACTATAGACCTATATATTGGATGAATATAGATGCAAAAATTCTCAACACGATACTTGCTAACCGTATTCAACAGCATATAAAAAAGGTTATTCATCATGACCAGGTAGGCTTTATTCCAGGGATGCAAGGGTGGTTCAACATAGGCAAAGCCTTAAATGTAATACACCATATTAACAGAAAGAAAAATAAAAACCATATAATTATTTCAGTTGATGAGGAAAAAGCATTTGACAAAATACAGCATGGCTTTATGATCAAGACTCTAAGTAAAATTGGCATAGAAGGACTGTTTCTCAGCATGATAAAAGCCATTTATGAAAAACCTGCAGCTAACATTATACTGAATGGTAAAAAGCTGAAAGCTAAAAGAGAAGAAAATAAAATACATTCCAAGGAAATAAGAGCTGAAATTATCTGTTTGCAGATGACATGATTGTATAAATAGAAGATCCAATAGTATCCATTAAAAAACTACTTGAAGTAATAAATGCATACAGTAAAGTGGAAGGCTACAAAATTAACTTACAAAAATCTATAGGATTTCTATATACAAACAACAAGCAGGCAGAGACAGAACTGAAGAATGTAATTCCATTTACCATAGCCACAAGAAGTATAAGATACTTAGGAGTAAAACTAACCAAGGAAGTAAAAAACCTCTACAAGGAGAACTATGAAAACTTTAAAAGGAAATTGAAAAGGACACTAAAAAGTGGAAGGACATCCCATGTTCCTGGATTGGCAGAATCAATATAATCAAAATGGCAATCCTACCCAAATTAATCTACTTGTTTAATGAAATTCCTATAAAATTACAAGAGACATTCTTCACAGATCTAGAAAAGACAATCATAGAATTTGTCTGGAACCATAAAAGTCCCCGTTTTACTAAAGCCATCCTGCATGAGAAGACCAGAGTAGGTGACATCTCACTCCCTGATCCCAAAATATATCACAAAGCTGTGATCCTCAAAACAGCATGGTGTTGGCATGAAAGTAGACATGAGGACCAATGGAACAGAGTAGATACTCCAGAAATAAACCCCAAAACATACAGCCAACTCATCTTTGACAAAGGATATCAGTCAATCCAGTGGGAAAAGGGAAACCTCTTTAGCAAATTATTATAAAAACTGGGTATACACTTGGAGAAAGATGAATCTGAACCTCAATCTATTACCATTAACAAAAATCAACTCAAAGTGGATCAAAGATCTAAACCTAAAACCGCAAACTATAAAATTACTGATGGAGGGACCAGCAGTTAGTGTAATGGCTATGTCACTGGACTCCCATGTAGTCGACTGCGGTTCAAGTCCTGGACTCAGCGACTTAAACTCATGCCGGGCGTGTGTGCATGTGTGCCCAAGATCCCAAGAGGAGAATGGAGGAGAAGGGATTGTGGCGTGGCCATCCCCCCGGGGGGTGATTTCTTGCTTTCTGTCTCTCTGTCTCTGTCTTTCTGGTGAGCACACGTGCCCTATAGCGAAAACCTCTCAAAAAAAAAAATTACTGATGGAAAACACTGGGAGACATTGGGATAGGCAAAGACTTTTTAAGCAAGACCTCCAAAGCAATAATCTCCAAAATAGACAGGTAGGATTACATCAGATTAAGGAGTTTCTGCATAGCAAAGGACACCATAATTAGTGTGAATCGACAACCCTCAGAATGGGAGAGAATTTTTGTTAACTGTACCTCAGATAATGGACTGATGATTAGAATACACAGGGAACTCAAGCAGCTTACCTGGAAGAAAATGATTAACCCAATTAAAAGATGGGAAAACAAGCTGAATAAACAACTCTCTAAGGAAGATATAGGAACAGCCAAAACGCACATGAAAAAATGCTCAACATCCCTCATTGTAAGGGAGATACAGATCAAAACCACAATAAGATACCACCTAACCCCAGTTAGACTGGTGTTTTTAAAAAAACAAATAACGATAAGTGCTGGAGGGGATATGGTGAAAGGAAACACTCCTACACTGTTGGTGGGAATGTAAATTGGTCCAGCCACTGTGGAGAACAACATGGAAGTTCCTCAAAGACCTTCAAATAGAACTACCATATGATCCAGCAATTCCACTCCTGGGTATCTATCCAAAGGACAGGAGAGCACTCAGTCGGAGAAATACTTGCACAACTATTTTCATTGCAGCCTTATTCACAATTGCTAAGACATGGAACCAACCCAAGTGTCCACAAACTGATGAATGAATTGAATAATTGTGGCACATATACTCCATGGAATACTATTCAGTCATAAAAAACAACAAAGCCCTGGAATTTGATAGAAAGTGGACAAATATGGAAGTTATGTTGCTGAGTGAAGCAAGTCAAGGTATGAAAGAGAAGCCTTGTATGTATCCACTTAACATATACTGACTGTCCGCACTCTATGGTACAGACTGAAAGACTGGAGAACATAAAAGTATTAAAAATTGTAATGGACACTAGAGACAAAGTGGAAAGAGAGTGTGGGAGGGGAAGAGCATAGAGGAAAGGAAATTTGGCGGGGGTGGGGGTAATGGAGAGGTATGACACTTGTAGGACACAGATAAGGTCTATTATCTGTTGATGAGGATGTGTATAATAGTCTCAACTGGGCTGGACTAAGATGTATATCATGCTGGGTAAAGTCTCTTCACAATCTAAATGATGTATAGTGATTTAATGTATGAATAATAATAAAAAATAAAAAAAAATTTAAAAAAGTGTAAAAAAATACCCAAGGAATTGAACAATGGATTGGTAGAATGACTTGTAGTGTCTTCACATGAGTGAGAGTTGAAAAGGCTGGGACCATATATTCTGGAGAAGAGAGGCCTCAGGAGGCACAGGATGAATCTTTTCACATATTGGCAAAGGTGTCCTAAGGAGGATCAGATAAGAACATGTCTCAGCTCTTTCTCTGAGCTTTGGTTTCCTTAATAAGTAGGTTTATTTATTTATTTAGTTTGCTACAGGGGATTATTACACTTGCTGGAGAGAGACAATGGGGGAGAGAGAGAAAGAGAGAGCTATGGAAAGTGAGATATCACCCCCTCCTCCTTCCGCAGGGAAGTTGGCCATGCTATAGTCCTTTCTCCTCCATTCTCCTCTCAGGATTTTGGGCATGCACACACATGTGCCTAGTGTGTTTTTCAAGTCATCACTTGGTTGGGGATTCTAGCAGCTCAGTCAGCCAAGTGGGATCTAGCCACCTTAATCGCCATGCCATCTAGTGGCTAAGTAAAGAGGTTTTATTTTCAGCATCTTCTCCTTCCCCAAGAAATTCTTTCTACAAAGGAAAATTAATCTTGAAGCAAAATGTAAAATAAGGAATTCAGAGTTGCTTTGGTTGTAAAGGTTCAGGGGGCCTTGAGGCTCAGCTATTTTCTTTTTCTTTCTTTTCTTTT